TCATGCCTCGCAGCAGCCTGAGAGCAGCAGAAGCAGCTCTGGGACCTGGGGCATCCCATGAGCAGGTGCCTTATAGCAGCTCCAACAGCCCTTCATGAACTTGCTGTTTTCCTGCAGATTCTGTTACCACTCTGAGTCATTTTGGAGCCTTTGTGTATGTTTGCTGCCGAATTTAAAAACATCCCAATGATATTTCATCCACATCAGAGATGATTCCACAATAGGTACAACAAACATGCCAAATCTGCCCATCTGCTCCATTTTCACCACGTTTGTGTGTTCAGAAGTGACTCAATGTGTCTGCAACAGCCTCTAGAAACTGTGTGCTTAGAAATGGGTTTAGAATTACTCACTGAGGAACCAAATAACAAATGCTTCATTAACATTCTCAGCAATAAAAAAGGGACAAGAACTAAAGTTACTCACTGGATTAAGAGAACAAATTTTGCTCTAAGCAGCACTGGTGAACCCATCCAATATTGTAAGAGTGTCCCTGAAGCTGCTCAGGCTGAGGTAAAAGGCTCTGGGCCACTAAGAATGACAAGAGTCTGGCAGAACATACACAGCTCCATCTGACCTTTCCACTCAGCGAGATTTAACAGCTCCGCTCAGTGGATTCATCTCCTCTCAAATTGCACATTTGGAACACGTTGCTGAATGTCACTCTAGGACTCCCCAGGCTGCAGCTGCCTGGGATGGACCCAAGCCTTGCTGGCACCAGCAGCTCCTCAGGGAGAAGGAAACCCTTCCATCACGTGCCCCAGGTAAGGGCACGCTCCCAAAGCAGAGCAGGCTCCACACTAACAAACAGGAGCTGGAACCTCAGGGGAGTTGGGACAGATTCTTTCCTTTAGAAGAAAACCAATATCAGGAATATTAGTGAAGATGAGATAAGACTTGGGGGTGATGGTGATGAGAACCTCTTGATGAGCTCAGTGTGAGCTCAGCCCAGGAACCAACCCAGGCCTGGGCTGCAGCCATGGAGTGTGGCAGCAGGTGAGGGAGTGGATTCTCCTCTCTGCTCTGCTCTGCTGAAACCCACCCGGAATCCTGCACACAGTTCTGGTGTCCCCAACAGGAGAAGGACATGGAACTGTTGGAGCAAGTCCAGAGGAAGTCACCAAGTTAAAGGAGCAGACTTGGTTTAATGGTATAGGTGGAATTATTGCACAGCCTGAAACTGGTTAGTATTTTATTGCAATGACCTATTGAAGGAGAAGAAGAAGAGGAAGAAGAAGAAAAAGAAAGAAGAAGGAGAAAAAGAAGAAGAAGAAGAAGAAGAAGAAGAAGAAGAAGAAGAAAAGAAAGAAGAAGGAGAAGAGAAATAAAGAAGAAGAAGAAGAAGAGGAAGAAGAAGAAGAAGAAGAAGAAGAAGAAGAAAAAGAAGAAGAAGAATAGGAGGAAGAAAAGAAAGAAGATAACCATAATACCCATAACCCACAATAATCATAACCAACATATATTATAATATATAATAATTATAATAACCAGTTACCATGGTACAATAAAAATATCCTACTATTATATACATCATTGGTAACAATGATTCTATTTTTTGTATCATTGTATTCTAATAGATCAAAGAAATGAGATATGAATATTTTTGCAAATATTTTACTCTAGACACTTTAGTATGAATATTTGATA